ATTGTGGATTTGGGGTTTTCATGAGCTGTAAGCCATAACCATCACAATGATGACAATTGCATTACTGAAATAAATGAACTTTTGCATGATATATTCTAATTTCTTGAGTTTCACCTGTAGGTTGCTGATGGTTGTTTGGAAGAAAATCATTAGTCCAGATGAGAGGGTACTGTCCAGACAGCTATACTCTGTCTCCCTACATAGTTTATTTCAAGTGGGGGTGTGAGTGTGACAAAGGCAAAAGCCTCAACTTGCAGATGGTGCACTCTAATGCTTGTTTTAGAGTTAACTGCAGAGATATCTGGGTAATGTTGAGTACCGGCTATGATACATTACCGTAAAACTGAGTGTTAAATGTGTTTACAGGATCACTTTAAGTGTTTAACAATATTTGACATCACTGAATACCATCACAAAATAACATCTATACTTGAAGTAGGTCTGAACCCTAAGTTGGTGATATTTAGTTTGTGAAAGCACTGTGTATCATAAATAGCTCTTTTCCTGTAAAAATAAGGTTTTTGTACTTACTATAAAGCCTTTTTTCTTGAAGTCCATTGAGGGGCATAGAGAATAAAAATAATCATAGACAAATGAGTTATCCTGCTTCAGGAGGTTGGGACACTGGAGAACAAAAAATTGGTAAACCAGCCCACTGTATAAGCCAACCTCCAACCATCCTGCCTCAGTTTTGTAAGCAAGCAATACATAAGGCCAAGAACTCAGGAGGGCAGGATACATTTCCCTCTTTGGACTTCAAGAAAAAGACTTTTTGGTAATTACAAAATCTTTTATTTTTATCATACATTGAGAGACATTAACAGAAAATATACAATCCATATGTGATCAAATCTCTCCTGTGAACTTAATCGAACATAAATGTGCAGATGCAATCACCTCTTTAGTTATAATAACACAAAGAACTACATCTATCCATAGGCGGATGGTGCATACATCCAAACTTGAAAAAAGTTACACCACTGTGTAACACCTTTAGCAGAGGCCTTTTGCCAGATGTGATGGACCATAAGATTATAAATGGTCAAACAGGCTTTGATTGTATATTCCTCCAATGGCTCCCTGTGCAAGAACAAGCAAGACGCCTCTGATTGTAAAAATAGACACCAAAGATAAAATATATAATATATATATATACACATACACAGACACAATGAAAGTACATTTAAAAACTTGAGCCTTTAATTTATCAAAAAAATATATAATGCGGTAAAGTCACAATTAATGCTGGACAGAGAGAAATCAATCGCAGGCTGATGGTTAACGAAAAAGCATCGGCACTGGTGCGTGATGGCGGCATGTACAAGCTGCATCCTACATGTTTCGATAGGCTATCTCCCGAAGATGTTTCCAACAAAACCTGTAGGGCGCGGCTTCTACATGTCGCTATCACGCACATGTGCCGGTCGGACCTGGCATTTTTGCGTTAACCATCAGCTATTTCACACTGTCCAGCATTAAGTGTGACTGTACCACATTATAAGCAAATAAGTTGTCAGAGACAGGGTCTGTTAAGAAGCTGAGCCATAGCTTTAGAACTCAATAGTAGGCTGCCTGTCGGCAATGTAGTACACTTGAGACTGAAAAGCTACAGGTGCCAGAGTCCACTATAATATTGTTACATAACACAATATATAAAAAGCGCAGCATATATGTTATATAAAGTCAGTGTAGACACCGAGTTACAAAAAGGCTGTGCTGTTATGCGGAAAATAGCAGAGGTGGGTACCCAAAGGACATATATTAAGATAGCTTAGCCTCATAACTTCACTTGCAAGGTTAGATGATCCACCAGGAGCTGTGATACTGCTCAGGAAATGGGGGCAGTCTGAAAATAGCTCATACACTATTTTTGAAAGACCACAATGTAGAGTACAGTGCCCGTAGGCACTGGGTCATATCCATAGGTTAGTTACTGAGTGAGTCATCAGAGACTTGGACACACCAGAAGCTGGATCATGGCTCTGTACTATAGACTTACCAACACATGATTTGTAAAGGACTTGGTCATATCAGAGGTTGTGCCACTACTCTGGAGGTGAAAAGTACTCTATGGCAAATTGACACAATATACAAGGGTCTGTAGAATGCAACAACACTGAGTTTAATGTCGGAAGGTCACATAACATGGATCTTTTCCACGTCCATAGTCGTACTCACAAGTGAGTCTTCAAAATCTGGGTTATACCATAGGCTGTGTTATGGCTCTGGACCTAGAGTGTGCTCAGCAGCTAATTAGCACAAAATGGGGTTGATTTTCTAAAACGAAAGTGCAAAATCTGGTGCAGCTGTGCATAATAGCCAATCGACCTTTAACTTCAGCTTGTTCAAGTAGCCTCCCTAGCGGTCTGATTATGTCAGTATTTCTGTGCTCAAAGTGGTAAATTTTTTTGCATGGAAATATGTCATGTTTTTATTGTAGGCCTGTAATTTTTAGGAATAACTCACTTAAATCTGTCCAAACAGTCTAGTAAACATCCCGGATATGTTAAAATTTGAAACACGAAATCATAAATTGTAATTGAATAAATAATCATATAAAATAATATAATAAATTTAATTCAATAATATAATCAAACCAAAAACACTGAAATTTGAAATATAGCGCCAAGTTTGCACATCACTGAGCAAAGTCGCAAAATCGTTTTCAGTGTCTGATGACGAATTTCCCCACTAATCATTATCACTCAATTCTGCAAGTGGTTCTGATTTACTATCGCTGTTCTCTAGCTGGTCTAAAACCGCTTTTGACCTAAAGGGAAGCTTTTTGGATGCCATGGACGTTTCTCAGTTTCCAGGCAGAAAGAACAATACAAATGCAGGCAGGGCACAGGGCAAAACACTAGGGACAAAATGTATGTGAAATGCTTTGATACAGTAATGTTATACTGTGTGATTTTAGTGAATGTCACTTTTTGACATTCTTAAATTTCCCACCAGTTACGTCCCCGTACGTCCCAACGTCGCAGGGAACGGAACCCAAAAGACAAATGCTGGCATTGGCCGGAGGACATGGCCGGGGACGCTGCAGAAGGGACATCGCGGGAGTGAAGGACAATGTAAGTGCAAAAGGGATCCCGGAGCAACTTATGCAGAGTATTCCCGAGTGTAGCTCGGGGTTACCGCTTGTGGTACTGAAACTTTACCCTGAGCTGCACTCGGGAATACCGCCAGGGAGGTTAAGCTTTGACAATAAAACTATGAAGCTGATTGGTTTCTATGTACAGCTGCACCAGATTTTGCACACTCCAGTTTTAGTAAATCAACCCCAATGTTTGCTGTGTTAACATATAAGAATGCTGGAGCACAAATGATAGTTACTAAATGTCTATACAGGGACTCTCATGTCTTGATCACCAGGCATCATTTTAATAAAAGCTGAGTATTTAAAAAGACTGAAAACAACTTTTGAAATTACAATAACATATTTCAATTTATATGAAACGTCAAAGATTGTGTTTAGATATACTTTAAATAGCATTTTTTCACTTTCAATTTTATTGTTAGATATTGTATTATAGTCCCTTGCCACTTTAGGTTTTAGACAGTCTGTGGTGAGAAACAACAGTCTTTAGAGAAAGTCCACTTATAGCATATTGCTGCAGGCTTTGCACGATCTCTGGAGTAGGTGGATACCGAACAACAACACTGGTGACAGAACAGCTATAAACAAAAATAATAAGGTTTTGGATGATAGCTAAAAACGTCATGGAATCTTAGTTTCTAGAAATAAGGATTTACCACACTGATAATTACAACAGTTTATATAAATCTTTGACATGTTTCAGTGTTTTTAAGGGTCCATCATGGATAGCTTTAAATACAAATATTTATGGGTATTTATTGAGTGATTTCATTGTTACTTTCCTTCAAAAGATAATCACACTTTTAATAAATTACTCACAAGCACCTCCTTTTTCAACAATAAACCTAATAAAACACCATACCTGAGGTTTTGATAAATGCTAGCTTTTCATTGCACAGTCTGCCCAGACTTTGAGCTAAACTGTGTGTAATCAGTCCAGTGTATGAATTGGGAGGACTACAAGGAAATGCTGTAAAACAGTCTGCAGTTTGACACAGACTGGCTAGCCGTTTCCTAAAAATGTACTTGCTGTTTAAAAGGAATCTCTCACAAAACCAATATTAGTTATTTTTAGAAATTCTTTTTATGAGAGCTTTATTTCTTGGACTTCCAGATTGTATCTTAATCTAGGACTATAAACCTATATAGTTTTACAGAAATTAAGACAACAGTATGAGTCCTCATGCACGCTTGACCGTTTTACAGCTGCTGTTGGCTTTTGATGTTTTTTTTCTACAGCTAGTAAACCCCCATGTTATCCTATGTGTCCATGCGCACACAAACTGTAATCAATGTTTTTTTGGGCTGGAAAAAAAAAACCAGGACTAGTGGATTTCTAGAGTAGTTTTTAGCTGTAAAAACACTCTAACGCTGCAAAACACGGTACAATGCCGCAAACTGGTTTTTTTTGGACTTTTTTACCCTCCGTATTTTTTGGGGGGGGGGGTAAAAAAAAGCTAACAAACTAAAACACCACTAATCGCGGCAAAACATTGCTTAAAGATAATGCAAAAAGCTAAAAAAAAAGCTGAAAAACTCACGTTTTTAACGTGATTTTACACAGCTAACATTACCAGCTTTATCAAAACGGCCAGTGTGCATGAGGGCTGAAAGTGGAGAGAGCCTGTCAGGTTCAATCACTGGCTTTTCTGAGAAATTCCTGCTAAAAGTTTCAGATCTATAGCCTTAAAAGAAACAAGCATGATTCATTTTTTAACATCTATGTATGCCTTTCTTTTGCAAATTTAATGTTTTACCCAATTGTGTGCCTTCCTTTTGTTAACAATTGTGTTAAGGTTATCATTACTTATGGATCTCAAGGCTTTAGCTTTAGTTGACGTTTTGTTAATTTTTGCACAAAAAAAATATGGATATCTTAGAATAACATTCCTCTGTCCTAAATCCACGTCTCTTCTTCACTTTTGCTTCCATTATTTTCATCCCATAATTGATTTAGCTGAGAACCAGAAGCTTCTAGGGACAAAGAAAATTCTGAGACTGTTTCATCTGTATCCAGATCTCCTGTACTAACAGCTGCGCTATGTGATTCACTTCGACTCCTAGCACTAGACGGAATTGCAGTGCTGTTTCCTGGCTTTTTAGATTTGTTTTTTGTTTGTAGATAAGAAACAGGTGTTGGGATTTTGGATGGCTTCTTTTCTGGCCTGTTATCTCGTCGGGGACGGATTTTGGGGCGTAGCTTGAGTTTGTATATTGATGGCACTCTTTCTGGCTTTTTCAGTGATCGTTTTGGCTTGGATGATTGAGGCAACTTTGATACTTCTGGGGTTGCTTCTTCTTTACGACATTTGGCTGATGGATTCAGGTTATCAGTTGCAGCCTCTAAACTTTTCTTCTTGGCTTCCATTGCCAGTTGTCTTGCTCTCTGAGATGGCAATTGCTTGACTTTCTTTTCTTTGTTCTCTGCAGGGATCACATTAGTTTTATCTATTTTCTGTACCGATAATGCTGGCTTACTTTTCTCTTGACCTACTGAATGCTGGACAGGTAAATCTAATTCCACAGCCACACCAGCTTTTGGAGGTATTTTAGATATCCAGTTTTCCACATCAACCCTATTGAGTTTCAACTGACCTTGAGAAAGTTCTGTGATAACATCATCATAACTTCCTCGTCCAGACTGCCATTTGGTATTTATATACACTCCACTTCTGGGTATTTCTACTTCCCCATCAGGTGTCTTTAATCTATTTTTCATCACTGAGACAGACGATACTGAAGTTCTTTTCATGTTAAAATTATGAACAGCAACATCACTTGCTATGCTAGGTGTGAAGTTATTGCACTTGTTTTCTTGGTTGCTGTTCTCATCTGAATCTTCCTCTAAAGCCTTGATGTTCGACTGGATTTCATCTTCCAAGCTCTGATACAGTTCTTGCTCTTGATCTGGGCCAATGGGTTTTGGTGTGTACCTGTAACCTCGTTCCATATTATCTGACATAATTGAAGCTTCCAAAGCACTGGTCTGCCTGATCTGCATTTTCATACTATAGCTGGAGACCTTGTCCTGTGTTAAGCCATTTTTGTTAACATGCACTGTTGGAGTAGACCTACCAGTCAGTATAGCTTTGCTTTGCTCATATTGAGTAGGCACACTTCTCGTTGATGTTAGTGTATTATGAGACATGTTAAAATCGCTTCCCACAGATTTACTTCTATCTCTGTTTGCAGATTCACCTTGATAATATCTGCTTGGTGTAGATGGCCTGCTATGAATAGGCATCGTCTTGACACCATTCAGTTCTTGCTTGATTGGCTGACTAAGCTGCTTGGTTGGAGACATTGAACGCGTATTAAGTTGTTTAGGTGGTGAAGAAGACTGAGTATTAAATTGCTTAGAGGGAGAAGAAGGTCGGGTATTAATTTGTTTTGAAGGAGAAGAGGATCGTGTGGTGATTTGTTTAGTGGGAGAGGAAGATCTTGTAGTAACATCATTATTGACCCTGGGTTGGTATTCTGACATTTTGTTTTGCTGACTGTGGAGGAAATATTTGGAGGGGCTTGGGGGTCTTAAAAAGCGTGAAGGTGTTTTTGGTCTTGATTCTTGCTGAATACTGTCCTTTTCTGTTGCTGATTGTGCTCTAACATTTGTATTATATGTTTGGCTGTGATAGGTGTCCATTGTCTTTTCTTTATAACCAGGATTCTTAATTTTATGTCTTCCTCTGTGGTTCTCATAGAAGACATCTGAAGAATGAGAGTTTTCATCTTCACTTCCAGTTAGTTGGGACCCAGTGGACGATGTAGACAGGCGAAGACCATCATGGGAAGACTGTGGACACAAAAACTGTTGACCAGAATGACCATCTTCAGTGAACAGTTGTCTCCTTGATGGGGTTGCAGGTCGTTCATGTCCTCTAGCAATAGGAACAAAATAAAAAGTTAACAGAGAGATGTTTTTAAACATTGTTATTTAAACTCTAAGCTAAATAAAGGGGCCTAAAAGGCTAAGACATAAAAACATCTGTTTGTTCATGTAGGAACACTCAAATCCCTAGTATATACAATGTTTTTACATTGCATGTCCATAACCCCCCTCCCCCCACCCACCTAGGCTGTAATGTGCAGTATCTACTTCCATCTATGCCATAAGCAGAGCAAATTAAAAAACTCACAATTGTAAAATAGTCTTTTCCAACACACCTAATTAAATATTTGGGGATTGGATATGATCAGTTGGGATATTTGCACACCATAAGACAATTGTACAATTACACCCAAATCCTTTACAGTATATCATATGATAGTAAGCCTATCTCTATGGGTACTTTACGTTTATACGTACATTAAAAAAATGACAGTTTCCATTACATTTTCATTAGATATAAGAAAAATCCCACCAAAGAACACAATTTCTGTCAATACTTTTTAAAAAGTACCATTAATGATGACTTTCTAGTGATCCTTAAAACAGTAATGTTTTAAAAGCACATTGGTCTTCATAGTCATATTTACCTAGTAAATTATGCATTCTAAAGTCATATAATAGAGAAGAAAAAAAAAATCAAGGTGGCCACTTTCAAGAAAAAGACTGGCGGTGAGTGGTGATAAAACCCTTTAGATAATTGGCAACCAACTAGATACCCATTAGGTCTTGTTTAACAAATGGGTATCGTTCCACAGTAACCAGTCAAGTTCTATCTTTTATGCACTTAAAACATAGACGTTAAACATAGAATGCAGTTTTAATCATTTATTATGTTTGGATAATCCAATAGGCATTCTTCATTTAAACCCTTCTATGTAACCCTATTTGCCTTTTTTTGCTCTTGATTTCTTTTTGTTTTAAAACACATAGCATAATGTGAATTTCCAAATGTATATTAACCCAAGTTTAATCAATAAAATGGAATAAAAATTTCCTTTTGGATTCACTCCATTAATGTGTGGGTTGTAATGCACCTCACATGCATTGGTGTTCTGCAGTACATTAATTTTTTTGAATGCACCTCAATGCACCTTCTTTTAAGCGCATGGTAATGCTAGCTTGAATTGTGGTACTTCGTGTTGGAAAAAAGGTACATACAGTTGCAAGAAAAAGTATGTGAACCCCTTGGGATTACGTGGGGCTTTGCATGAATTGGGCATAAAATGTGCTCTGAACGTCATCTAAGTCACAACAATAGAAGAACACAGTCTGCTGAACATAATACTACACAAACATTAGATGTTTCCATGGTTTAATTGCACATAACATGTAAACATTCACAGTGCAGGGAGGAAAAAGTATGTGAGGCCCTAGCTTAATGACTTCTCCCAGAGCTAATTGGAGCCAGGAGTGAGCCAACCTTGACTCCAATCAGTGTGATGATATTGGATGTGTTGCTGACAGCTGTTCTGCCCTTAAAAAACACACACCTGTTTTGGGTTTACTGGTTTTAAGAAGCACTGTCTGATGTGAACCATGCCTCGCAGAAAAGAGCTCTCAGAAGACCTACGATCAAGAATTGTTAACTTGCATGAAGTTGGAAAGGGTTACAAAAGTATCTCCAAAAGCCTTGATGTTCATGTGTCCACGGTAAGACAGACTGTCTACAAATGGAGAAAGTTTAGCACTGTTGCTAGTCTCCCTAGGCGTGGTCGTCCTGTAAAAATGACTGCAAGAGCACAGCGCAGAATGCTGCATGAGGTAAAGAAGAATCCCGGAGTGTCAGCTAAAGACCTACAGAAATCTCTGGCACATGCTAACATTTTTGTTGACACATCTACAATAAGGAAAACATTAAACAAGAATGGAGTACATGGGAGGACACCACAGAGGAAGCCATTGCTGTCCAAAAAGAATATTGCAGCACGTTTGAAGTTTGCAAAAGAGCACCTGGATGTTCCACAGCACTACTGGCAAAATATACTGTGGACAGATGAAAGATGAAACCAAGATTGAGTTGTTTGGGAAGAACACACAACACTATGTGTAGAGAAAAAAAAGGCACAGCACACCAACATCAAAACCTCATCCCCACTGTAAAACATGGCGGAGGGAGCATCATGGTTTGGGGCTGCTTTGCTGCCTCAGGGCCTGGACGGATTGTTGTCATTGATGGGAAAATGAATTCCAGAGTTTATCAAGACATTTTTCAGGAAAACGTACGACCATCTGTCCACCTACTGAAGCTCTGCAGAGGATGGGTGATGCAACAGGACAATGACCCAAAGCATACAAGTAATTCAACAAAACAATGGCTGCAACAGCACAGAATACGCCTTCTGGAGTGGCCCAGTCAGAGTCCTGACCTAAACCCGATTGAAATGCTGTGGCATGACCTTAAGAGAGCGAATCACACCAGACATCCCAAGAATATTGCTACACTGAAACAGTTTTGTGAAGAGGAGTGGTCCAAAATTACTCCAGATCATTGTGCAGGTCTGATCTGCAACTACAGGAAACGTTTGGTTGAGGTTATTGCTACCAAAGGAGGGTCAACCAGTTATTAAGTCCAAAGGTTCACATTCTTTTTCCTCCCTGCACTGTGAATGTTTACATGTTATGTGCAATTAAACCATGGCAACATCTAATGTTTGTGTAGTATTATGTTCAGCTGACTGTGTTCTTCTATTGTGACTTAGATGACATTCAGAGCACATTTTATGCCCAATTCATGCAAAACTCCATGTAATCCCAAGGGGTTTGCATACTTTTTCTTGCAACTGTATATATTTTTCTGTCTGACCTGGTGCATGGGCAGCCCATTTAAAATGAACAGACTGCTGAATGCAATGTCTGTTAACACATGACATAATGCGCATACTTTTAGCAATGCACCAGAGTGGGCAGGTGTAAATGTGGGCCCGTTTACACTAGTGCAAATCAATCCATGATTGAGATGCTAGTTGATGTATTAACATGTTCACATTTTTACATCATAAACATATGCTGCAAGTACCTGAATGCAAAACTCTTCTTGAGGTCACTGTGTACATTAGGCGTTCTAAACCCAGATGTCTTATCAACACTTTCAGGAGTGGTAGTGGATGCATGGGTTCTGCCACCTCCAGATGTGTAAGTCTTCCAGTCTACTGGAGGCAGCGGACTCTGGGAACGGCTTACTATTAGTGTGGTTTGTGTTTTAGTGGAATTGTCAGGCCTTGCTGTTATCTCATGAACTGGGTGTGCTGGCTTCCGATTGCTGGCTGATACCGAAGATTGTTTATGAGCTGTAGGAAAGAAAGAGTTCAAAAACATATTTTATCTTTATCAATTACAGATCTATAAAATTCAATCAGCTCATAGCTTGGAACATCTCTACAATGCTTGCAAATACACTCACCGGCCACTTTATTAGGGGCACCTGTTCAATTGCTTGGTAACACAAATTGCTAATCAGCCAATCACATGGCAACACCTCAATGCATTTAGGCATCTAGATGTGGGGAAGATGACTTGCTGAAGTTAAAACCGAGCATCAGAATGGGGAAGAAAGGGAATTTAAGTGACTTTGAACATGACATGGTTGTTGATGCCAGGCGGGCTGGTCTGAGTATTTACAAAACTGCTGATCTGCTGGGATTTTCATGCACAACCATCTCTAGGGAAATTGAGACTAATCAGACCAGGCAACGTTTTTCCAATCTTCTATAGTTCAATTTTGCTGAGCCTGTGCAAATTGTAGCCTCTGTTTCCTGTTCTCAGCTGACAGGAGTGGCCCTCGGTGTGGTCTTTTGCTGCTGTAGCCCATCTTCTTTAAGGTTTGATGTGTTGTGCGTTCAGAAATGGTATTCTACATATGTTGGTTGTAACAAATATTTATTTGAGTTACTGTTGCCTTTCTATCATCTCGAACCAGTCTGCCCATTCTACTCTGACATCAACAAGGCATTTTTGTCCACACAACCGCCACTCACTGGATATTTTATCTTTTTATGACCATTCTCTGTAAACCCTAGAGCTGGTAGTGCATGAAAATACCAGTAGATTGGCAGTTTTTTTTACTGTAATTAGCCTGTCTGGCACCAACAGCCATGCCACGTTCGTAGTTGCTTAAATCCCCCCTTTCTTCCCCATTCTGATGCTCAATTTGAACTTCAGCAAGTCGTCTTCACCACGACTAGATGTCTAAATGCATTGAGTTGCTTCCATGTGATTGATTGATTGGCAATTTGTGTTGCCAAGCAATTGAACAGATGCACCTAATAAAGTTGCCGTTGAGTGCATAATGTTGAAAAGTAAATGGTGTTTCTGTCTCCTGTGAGAGGGAAACCTACATATCCCATTTCCATGCTCACATTAGCTGACATTGTATAAACGTGTGGTGAAGAGATGGTTAATGTCTCACAATGATCCAAGAATAGAAAGCTGCAGACACAATGTCACAAATATCAGGGACAAGTGACATAACAGTAAGAAGGTAATGGGCCGTGCAGAGACGTGATTGTCTCTCATACCTTTCCTGGCAGAATAGAGTCTACTAGCTGGCAGACTTCCAGGAGATCCGTGAGTGACAGTGATGGCGTGCATATAAAGCTAGGTATTTCAAGTGACTAATACTAGAAAGCAGCTAGATGGGTTCACTCAGGCAACCTGTCAGAATGTCATAACCACCACTAAACAATGACCTAACCCAGGTAATTGATTTGCACATACTTTGACAGGTAATTGCTAGGTCTGTATAACAGATTCATGTTTCTCTTAAATATATTTAAAGGATAGGAGAAGTGGCTTCTATGTCATCGGGACGCATCATGCATCACATTGCAGCTGCCTATCAGAATTTTAATTTCATATCATGTGCTTATAGAACATATATAGATATGGGTAAGGCAGGCCTTTTTTTTTTATTTATTTTATGGGACTGCTTACAAACATCTGCAAACTTGTGCAAAGTCAGTTCTTGCCAAAGGTATTACAAATAATTTATTTTAAAAAATTGGACAGGATATTATGAATATTTCTAGAACCTTTATCAAACGTTTTGAAAGCAAACACATTTAGGCAGCCATTTACCACTTTAAAAGACTAATGATGAAAAGAGAAGTAACTGGAGTTAATGCTGTAAAGATAGTCAAATGTGAACACCTGACACAGCATCTGTGGCATTCACATTAAAGTGGTTAAGGTTGAGATTTAAAAAATAAACATATCATAACTGCAATGGTTTTGTACAGAGTAGCCCCGATCCTCCTCTTCTCAGGCTCTGGGGGCATCTATGAGTGCTCGCTCACGAGCTGCTTGTACGTGTCTATGAGACACACAGAGCATTGTTTGTCCTTGCACCCCACTCTCTTCTCACTGGCTGTGATTGACAGCAGTGGGAGCCAATGGCTACTGCTGCTGTGTCTCAGCCAATGAAGAAAGAAAGGCCCAAGAGAGCTTCTGTTCTTGCGCACATCACTGGATCGGGCTCAGGTAAGTATTGGGGAGGCTGAGGGGGGAGCTGCACATGGAGGTTTTTTACCTTTTATACATAGAAGCATTGGAGGTAAAATAAACCGTCAGCCTTTAGAACCACTTTATTGTCTAAATCTGACAGATATGAGTATTATTAGGCTCAGGGCTTTTTTTTTTTCAAGAGACAAGGTGCAAGAAACCTCCCTCCAGTGATAATAGATTCCCCAGCAGCCAGCAGCAATAGGCCCTCCAGCACGTCTTAGTACCCTTTGCCATTACATATATTCAGTACTGGAGGTGCCGGAACTGCGTTCCTGCTGGAAAAAAAAAAGACCTGATTAGGCTGTTTACTTTGCAACAATTAACATTTTGCAAGAGATTTTTCCCCCAAAGCTTATTGAAGGTGGTGAAGATTAACTTTTCAAAGCATACCCAAACATGCCTAGAAAAAAAAACCTGCCATATTAGCTACCTTTTGAGGGGGAGCGGGTACCTGGTTTTTACAGGTACCCGCTCCCACTTCCGGCTCAGTTCACCATGGCAAAGTGAGCTGGAAGTTCGGCCTCTCCTTCCTCCTGCAGTCTCCTGAGAACTTTCACAGACTGCCCCACAATTAGGAGGCTCAGCGCGACTCATGCATGCGCAGTGGGCACCACGCTGTCAAGGAGCAAGCTGGTGTCCTCAGTTGAGATGCCGGCGTCGTGGAGGAAAGAAGGGGAGAAGGGACCGTGCAGGTAAGAACATCGCTGGACCCTGGGACAAGTAAGTCTGTGTTCATTAAAAGTCACAAGCTACAGTTTTTGTAGCTGCTGACTTAATAAACAGAAAAATGGCTGGAACTCCGCTTTCAGTTCAGTAGAGTAGACTGGTTCTCATAGGAAGAAGTGGTAAAATGGTGGCTTTTCCAAGTATAGTTTTTGGCCACTGCTAGTAGTAGTTAGTCACATTTAAGGCAATATTAAACCCAAAAGCAAATAGTTAATATATTGCAGCTCACAAACTCTTAGATACTGTATGATGATTGTATTGGTTTTCTTTTTAGGTTTTCTGTCTTCCTTTTGCATCTAGTGATCCAGTCAGTAAGTCTGTTGTTTTTCAACACAAAAAGTCTCTTGTAGTTACAAGGATGAAACAGACCACTTAACACTGGCAGAGGTGCTTAAAATAAGCAGCTTTCATTTATATGTGTAAAACCTTTATTCCAAAAGGAAAAAAAAGGTTTTCTGTAACGGATTATAAAGTATTAGCTGGAGTTTGGGTTCGATTTGTTAGTGTATTTAAATCTGCTAATACTTTAAAACTCCCTTCCACCCAGGCTGACGTTGCCTAGTGTGCCCCCTGTGCTCATTCATCCAGAGTAGAGGCACTCTAATACTGGAGGTGTGTTATTAGTCAAATCAGCAGAGAAAAAAAAAAAAAGCCTAAAAAAAGGAAACTAATGAAAACATCTAATGATTGGTAATCTGCAATATATTACATTTTTGATTTTGGGATCTATACCACTTTAGCACAGGGCTTGACAAATTTGCTTTGAATCTAGGAGCCAGCTACAAAAGTTAGGAGCCAGGTAGGGGGCAGCGTGACAGGTGGAGGGCCAGCGGGACAGGAGAGGGGCAGCAGGACAGGAGAAAGGCAGTGTCACAGGAGGAGGACAGCAAGACAGGAGGAAGGCACTGTGACGGGGGGGGGGCAGTAAGACTGGTGGGGGCCAGTGGGAAAGGAGGGGGAATCATCATGGGAGGGGGCAGTGAGACAGGTGGGGGGGGCAGCACCACAGGTGGGAATCAGTGTCACAGGAGGGGGCAGCAAGACAGATGTCTGCCTGGTTGTTGTGGTCTGTGCCTTGCTAGAGGTGATGCTGTCCGCTATCGCACCCAGGTGGCGGGACTTGGTGGCCCTGGTGACTTCTGGCCTCTGATAGGGAGCACTTCCACAGTTGAAGGTGGCTCCGTGGTGTGGATGGGGGGGTCGGTGTGGGATGCTGCATCTCTTCTCCATAGGCTCTGGGGGGCGAGGCCTGTGGTGTTTTCCAGGGGGACGGCTTTCGTGGAGCTGTGCAGCTCTGTGTTCTGCCTGGACTCGGGGGGAAGGATGGGGGAGACTCCGGGGTCTTGGAATGAAGGGTTCCACTCTGTGGGACGAGGTAGAGGTGCCAGCTGAGGACATGGGGTGGGGGACAACAGAGCAGTGTGGGCTGATAGGGGCCCAGGTGCCAGAACGCAGTTTCTGATTGCCATGGCGACCTGGCGCCTGGGAATTGTCGAGCCCTGCTTTAACAGAACTTGTTCTGTAATATTGAATACATTTCTTGGTGGGGATGTGTGGGGGGAGCCATCCCTGCCGGGAAAACACAGTGATCATTTTTAGTGGCTATAGCCACTGGCAATAATCGCAAGAAAAATCCACCGGACTGATTGTACTCAAGTCACGCAACAATCGATTTGAGTACATCCAGCCTGCCCACAGATAGTTAATGCTGAACAGACCGAGATTTGAACCATTATTGGCCTGCTTAAGTCTGACTTGAGTTCTGTTTGGGTTTGCATTTCACGGTGACTATATTAACCACTACTTGACCACGCTATAGCCAAATGAAGGCTACAGCGCGGTCGTCCAGTTCAGGGAGGGCATCAAATGACGTCCTCCCAGAACATGTATCCAGCTGAACGCACCTGCCCCTCTATGTGATCGCTGTGGACATAGCTGATCACATAAAACAGTAAAGGGCCAATCACGGCGGCCTTTTACCACGTGATCAGCTGTGTTTAATCACCATGTAAATACACTTGCCGCCTATTGGCAGCACTTTCCTCATGCTGTCATAGCGTGAGGAAAGTACTGCCTATAACTGGCAACTGTGATTATCAGTGCAGCCCTAAATTGCCCAGCAGTGCTGCCCATCAGTGCCTAGTAGTGGTGCCAATCTGTGCCCTTCAGTGCTGCTTATTAGTACCCATCAGTGCTGCCTATCAGTGCACATCACTGCCACCTATCAGTGCAGCCACATCAACGCACATCAGTGAATGAGAAAACTACCTGTTTGCAAAATTTTATAATAGAAACAAAGAAGAAAAACATTTTTGTCAAAATTTTCGGTCTTTTTTTGTTTAGGAAAAAATAAAACATCCAGTGGTGATTAAATACCACCAAAAGAAAGCTCTATTTGTGTGAAAACATTTAGAGAAAATTCATATGTGTACAGTGTTCCATGACTGTGCAACTGTCATTCAGTGTGAGAGCACTGAAAGCTGAAAATTGGCCTGGGCATGAAGGGGGTAAAAGCGTCCAGTAGGAAAGTAGTGACTGAGTTACCTGTGTAACTGAGGAAATGACTTGGCTAGCCAGCAAAAGTATTCAACATTACAGAACATGCTATACCATGACCAGGATAAATGAGAACCTTCCCAAACGTTCTTGGACACACATTTTACTTCTAATCATTAGCAAAAACAAAAGAACTTAATCTGAATTTACAACCAGTAAAAGAAAAGAAAATGTTTTGTAGAAAACAGCTGATCATAGCAAAGATGTGTTTCTTAAGATGCCGAAGGTGTACCTCGGGCAGCCTTTCTCAACCTTTTTATCACAGAGGAACCCTTAAAATGACTTTCAAGTAACCCCTGCCAGTACCTATGAAAGTCTGCCATACCTCCCTCAAATCATCGACACATCAGTTTGATTTAAAGCGGAGCTCCACCCAAAAGGGGAAGTTCCGCTTTAAGGACTGCTCCCCTACTCCCCATTAAGGATTGGCACCTTTGGGGGGTGGGGGGGAGCGGGTACCCGAATTTGACAGGTACCCGCTTCCACTTCCGGACCGACCGCCTATGCAATCTAAAACGGAAGGTATCCTCCCTCCCTGTAGTCTTTTGGGACACGTGACAGGTCCCAGAAGACTACAGGACCATTCATGAAGCACAGTGGGTACCCGGCTGTGAAGCTGCAAGCTGTCACAGCCGGGTGCCCACACTGAAGATGCTGGCCTCCTTGAATACAAGACGGCTGGTGAAACAAGCTGCAGGGGACACACCATGGGACCGAGGGACAGGTAAGTGGCTGTTTTTTAAAAGTCAGCAGCTACAGTTTTTGTAGCTGCTGACTTATTTTTTGACAGCGTGAGTGGAACTCCGCTTTAAGGAAACTAAATATCTGCTATTGGAAGTTCACCTTGGATGTCATCATTGAAAGTTGCCATGGTTTTTAAAGTCAATGTTCTACTGCACATTTTGAAATGATTTGTTCAATTTATTTTTAATTAATGCAGTGTTTACTGTAAATATTCATACCATATTTCTTGCGCTATTTTAGATTTTACGCTTTGAGAATCCATCAGTCAAGGTATTATTGCAATTACTAAATATCTGCTTCCGAGTATTTTAATGTTGGAGGTGTAAAGCTAGCCATACACTATACAATCTGATTTTACAATCTGTTCTAGATCTACCATCAACTGTGCAAGGGCATGTCTGATTGGATACAAATTGAATGTTTAGATTGTGTCCACAATTTGCATAGTTTTGGTACCACCAAAGTATAATGTACAGGAATTGTACACTCTAGTGTATAGCCTGCTTAAAATACAAGGCAGATAATGGCAATGAACCTACAAGAGAAATGTATATCCCTTTATGAAATAAAAATGGCAATAGGCTTAAAGCGGCTGTAAACCTCTGAAATGAAAAATTAACAAAGCATATCCTTCTGTTGTGTGTTTGCCTTGATCCAAAGTGCCTATCGTGATTTCTGTCTGCTCTGCCATTCTTCTGCAATCTGCATGACTCTTTTCTGACAGTCTATTCCAACAATGGACATTCCCAGAAGACTTCCCTGCTGAACTACCCTCCAGCACACAGCTGGAGAATGATAGATCCAGGTGTGCATGGTTCCCTATGAGACTGTGTAGAGGGGGTGTGTCCATTTCCTCCACTCAGGTCTCAGATCACACTCAGCTCCCAGCTCTATGCTGTGCTGTGTGTGATATCAGATCCCCACCCCCTGCCTTCTGGAACTCAGAAATGCTGTGCAAAATGAGGTTGTAGAGAAGAAATGGCTGCAGATAAATAGGTGAGAATTTTGTAGGAGGATTTGTTTCATCACTGTGTATCACCTGAGTCTGATCACTTACAGTATGTAAGGTTTACAACCACTATGTAAGGGTTTACAACGACTTCCAGTCTGGGACAAGTCTGACATTTTTAACATACATGTTAGAATTAGCATTTTTTGTTAGAAAATTACTTTGAACTGCAAACTTTATATATTTTCTGCAAACCGAGGCCCTGGAGAACAAATTGGAGGCTGCTGCAATTTTTGTATGTTGCGCAATGTTTGCACAGCCATTTATCAAACACAAATTTTCAGGAACTAATATACTTATGCATTTTAGTACACATACAAACACACTATAATGCACACTTTTATGGTAAAATATAAAAGATGATGTTGCACCAAGTAAATACATAACAAACATGTCAAGTTTAAAAAAATCTTTCATGCCTGATAAATGGCAACAAACTATGGTACCAATAATCTCCATATGAGACATTTTAGAAGCCTTTACAGGTAACCATTTTAAAGTTAAATGTGAGCTCTGGTGCTACAGTTATTGCTCTCATTCTGATATTGGTAGCGATACCTCACATGTTTGGTGCAATCACCACTTCCATATGCTTGCAGTTCCTACATGTGTGTTTGCATTTGTGCATGAGCACGGGGGAATGGGGGTGCTTTTCGTTTTTTATGTATTATTTTATTTAAATGTATTTTTTACACTGTTTCTTTATTTTTTTAATTCAAAGTTAATGCTATCATAAGGGGTGAACAACATCCCTGGTTGATAGCATGCACAGTGGCAGGTACTCCTTATTAACCGCTTGCCCAGCCCCCTATAGTAGAAGTACCGCTACAGGGTGGCAGGGCTGCGCAAAATCACGTATGTATATATACATGATTTGCATTTCTGGGTAGGGCGTGCATCACCATTGGCGGCTAGGGATGTCAATCACCGGGTCCCGGATGGAGATTCCCTGCCGACACCCGGCAATCGTTGGGCAAAGCTGACGGGAGAGACCTTTGTGTAAACACAGGTATCTCTCCTGCCAGCAAGGACATGCTGCTTTGTATTTCTCTGCACAGCAGATAAATACAAAGCAGCATGCATGTCTTCATAGTAAAACGCACACAGCACATAATGTAAAACAGCACACACTTAACCCTTTGCTCACCCCAGATGTTAACCCTTCCTGCCCATTAGTACAGTGTCAGTGCTTTTTATTAGCACTGATCACTGTTACTGTCATTGGGATGTCAGTGGCAGTTAGTCAGTTCCCCCCAGTGTCCAAATGCCCGCCGCAGTCCCGCTATAAGTCGCTGATTGCCGCCATTACTAGTATAAAAAAAAAACAAATAAAAATTCCAGTATATATACCGCCATTTGTAGATGCTATAACGTTCACATATACACGTATTGGGATTTTTTTTTTAGCAAAGACATGTAACAGAATACATTTTGGCCTAAATTTATGAAGAAATTTAGATTTTTTTATGGGATATGTTTTATAGCAAAATGTCAAAATACTGTTTTTTTTTTTCTTTTCAAAATTGTCGGTCTTATTTTGTTTATCCTCTGGAGGGCAAGTGATTAAGACATCTGAGGTCTATTAGACCCCTGATCTTTCCTCTGCCCTCTAAGGCAGCTGATCAAATCGGTTTTAATGGGTTGCCTGTCTGGCCACTACAGGCCAGTAAACTAACAAGCGAAACCGGAAGTACAGTAATATATGTCACTTGCGGCCAGGGGCGGACTGACAACTCATGGGGCCCCCGGGCAAAACTCAAAAAAGCCTATGAAAAAAGGTACCAGGGGCATCTCATGGGGCCCCCTACTGACCCCGGGCCCTCGGGCAGTGCCCGAGTTTCCAAATGGTCAGTCTGCCCCTGCTTGCGGCTTCACAGAGGAAGAGGAGGAGCAGATGTTTCTCTTTGCATGCAGCCGGCCAACAGCTACAGCCATGATCCTGGTATAACCACTTGTTCTTGAGGACGTACGGGTATGTTCTAGAGATGGGAAATGGCAATTCACACATAAAGCACTACAATAAGGATCCTTATTTTTAAAAGCGCAACAGTTATATTCTGCTGAGTAGAATGAAATTTCAAAATTGCAGTCACAGGGCTAAAATAAAGTTCCTTTTACTTTGGTTAAAGCTTTGTGTATTGAGCCCATTTCCATTAACTGGGCACAGATATATATAATACTCTGTTTAGTGATACATACAGAGAGAAGTACAGCGGCAGGGGTCATGCTTGTCCAAATAATGTTCCAGCGTGTCCCAGCCCCCTCCTACTCTGACCATCACATGGTTACGAAGAATCTAGAAAACAGAAACCTGCTTACTAAGAAATGTATGATATAATATCAATATTCAGTCAATTTTAGTGAATACAGTAGACAGGTCAAGGATTGCTTTTGTGCCCAGATTCCCCAATAATAAAACAACAATGTTAATACATACAATAGGCCTATTAATATAACATTGAAAAAGGGTTCAGATCTATTTAACTGGAAGTAGTCTGGTCGGTGACGACATTACAGATTATTAAACAACTATGCATGCCCATTTAAAATTATAGCTACAACCCAATTCAATTTTAGTTTAATCAGCCAAATATGTTCCAAAACAAAAGGTGTTCAATGTCTCACAATGTTTTACTTCTAAAGCAGTCAAAGCCTGAGTAGAAAAGCTGGCTCCCCGTCAGCAGCTGCAGAGTCAGACCCTTGTGGGAAAGCAGTAGCCTCATTGCAGAGGTACAACACATCCCTAATGTGTCAGATGTACACCTCTGAAATCAGCAAAGGTCATGTTGCTTGCTGATTGAAGAGCTTTGGCCCTGATTCAGCAAATGGCATCACTGCTTGCCCAAAAAAGACCAAAGGTTCCACTCTGCAACATGATGGCAGGACACAGGCTTTTCTACTCAGGATGCAGTGGTATACATAGCATATCTTCCAGCTGGGTATTATCACTTTTTTAACATCCGACCCTATAAAAAAAAATAAAAATATTTGCAGTAATAATTCACTGCACACAGTGCTCTGTGCTGAGTTGTGTGTGGCCAATTATGTTTTACACCCATACCCTCTGGTTTATGATAGTACCGATGTATTCATATCTATGAGAGGTTGTACACTGTGCCTGGGCTTCCTAGGCAGGGAAAATGTGCCTGCATATACAGTTGCAAGAAAACGTATGTGAACCCCTTGGGATTACGTGGAGTTTTGCATGAATTGGGCATAAAAAGGGCTCTGAACGTCATTTAAGTCACAACAATAGAAGAACACAGTCTGCTGAACATAATACTACACAAACATTAGATGTTGCCATGGTTTAATTGCACATAACATGTAAACATTCACAGTGTAGGGAGGAAAAAGTATGTGAACCTTTGGACTTAATAACTGGTTGACCCTCCTTTGGCAGCAATAACCTCAACCAAACATTTCCTGTAGTTGCAGATCAGACCTGCACAACGATCTGGAGTCATTTTGGACCACTCCTCTTCACAAAACTGTTTCAGTGTAGCAATATTCTTGGGATGTCTGGTGTGAATCGCTCTCTTAAGGTCATGCCACAGCATTTCAATCGGGTTTAGGTCAGGACTCTGACTGGGCCACTCCAGAAGGTGTATTCTGTGCTGTTGCAGCCATTGTTTTGTTGAATTACTTGTATGCTTTGGGTCATTGTCCTGTTGCATCACCCATCCTCTGCGGAGCTTCAGTTGGCGGACAGATGGTCCTACGTTTTCCTGCAAAATGTCTTGATAAACTCTGGAATTCATTTTCCCATCAATGACAACAATCCGTCCAGGCCCTGAGGCAGCAAAGCAGCCCCAAACCATGATGCTCCCTCCGCCATGTTTTACAGTGGGGATGAGGTTTTGATGTTGGTGTGCTGTGCCTTTTTTTCTCCACACATAGTGTTGTGTGTTCTTCCCAAACAACTCAATCTTGGTTTCATCTGTCCACAGTATATTTTGCCAGCAGTGCTGTGGAACATCCAGGTGCTCTTTTGCAAACTTCAAACGTGCTGCAATAGTCTTTTTGGACAGCAATGGCTTCCTCCGTGGTGTCCTCCCATGTACTCCAGTCTTGTTTAATGTTTTCCTTATTGTAGATGTGTCAACAAAAATGTTAGCATGTGCCAGAGATTTCTGTAGGTCTTTAGCTGACACTCTGGGATTCTTCTTTACCTCATGCAGCATTCTGCGCTGTGCTCTTGCAGTCATTTTTACAGGACGACCGCGCCTAGGGAGACTAGCAACAGTGCTAAACTTTCTCCATTTGTAGACAGTCTGTCTTACCGTGGACACATGAACATCAAGGCTTTTGGAGATACTTTTGTAACCCTTTCCAGCTTCATGCAAGTCAACAATTCTTGATCGTAGGTCTTCTGAGAGCTCTTTTCTGCGAGGCATGGTTCACGTCAGACAGTGCTTCTTGAAACCAGTAAACCCAAAACAGGTGTGTGTTTTTTAAGGGCAGGACAGCTGTCAGCAACACATCCAATATCATCACACTGATTGGAGTCAAGGTTGGCTCACTCCTGGCTCCAATTAGCTCTGGGAGAAGTCATTAAGCTAGGGCCTCACATACTTTTTCCTCCCTGCACTGTGAATGTTTACATGTTATGTGCAAATAAACCATGGCAACATCTAATGTTTGTGTAGTATTATGTTCAGCAGACTGTGTTCTTCTATTGTTGTGACTTAGATGACGTTCAGAGCACATTTTATGCCCAATTCATGCAAAACTCCACGTAATCCCAAGGGGTTCACATACTTTTTCTTGCAACTGTACATTGAATGGGCTTTGTGGCCCATGTGTTAGAGTCCTAACTAGAAAGTCATAAAATGATCTGCTGTCTAATACAGTGATGAACGATTATCTTCCTTGTGATTTCAGCCGGTCAGAGATGGAGAGATTTTCTTTCCTCCAACTCCAGGTTCCAGGAAAGAAAATCACTTGATTCCCTTTTCAACACAGTGTTGAAAGGGGAATCCCTCCCATGGAGCCATTGTGTTTTCCCGGTGGGGAGGGGCAGGGGGGAGCCGTCCCTGCCAAGTGAATAGTGATTACTACTAAAGGCTGTAATCCGACAGGCTGGTTGTACCCAAGCTGATCAATCGATCAACTTGGGTACATTCAGCCTGCCTATACATGGTTCAAATCTCAGCTGATCCATGCTGAACTCAGAGGCGTATTTACCACAAGGCAGACAAGGCATTTGCCTAGGGCGGCAATTTTCAGGGGGGCAGCACTGCCCCCCAAAAGAAGGGATGGAAGAATGGACACACGCAGCATGAGGACCAGGTGGGATCTGAGAGAGGCTGCGGCTGCTTGATGGTGTATGCAGAGCCTGACTTGATGGTGTATGCAGAGCCTGATGGTGTATGCAGAGCCTGTGGGATGTCTGGAGTTGTGAAGGTGAGTGCCCTCTCTTTTGTTGAGGTGGGGGGGGTAGTGGAAGGCTCTCTCGGGAAGGGGTGGGGCTGGGGTGTTGTTGGTCAATGTCAGGCTCTTTGTGGGGAAGGGGGGTGTTGGTCTGTGTCAGGATCTCTCTGTGGGGGGGAGCCGATTTTTGTATTGCCTAGGGCAGCACAAAACCTAAATACACCATTGGATGAACTGGCCAGCTATCTACAGCCTACTAACTGAAGGTGCTAATAAACATCAGTGAACAATTATTGTCTGACTTTTGGCTCAATACACCAAAGCTTGCCAGGCACATTATCAACAGCTGTATTGTACAAGAACCTACAAGACTGGTTGTATACGGAATGGATTGTTTAGCTAAGTCTCTTGCTATGGTTTTGGATAAATGTCTGAAAATTGAGTGGGCACTTTGAAATCTGATGGTAATGTGGCAGCTAAGCTACAATGCATGCGTCATCTGCCAAGCAATCTACACAATTTCTAGCAATACTATTCCTGTGTCCCTCACCAAGAAACCTGCCCATCCTTGATTGCACCACTGGAAATGAAACCCAATGAGATCTTTTGTTGGTCTTGGAAGAATGATGAAAGTAGTGCACTCCTTTTCTTTTCCCCATAAATAAAGTGAACAATCAGTACCTGCCTACCTAACATTTTATGACAATATGGAACATCTCTGTGTGCAATAATCTACACTTTCGAAGCTCAGGTATTTGCAGAATTCTATATAAATAATATTTAGCAGAATTCCATACAACTGTTAGCAGTGTGCTTTAATGCGTTGCCAGAGAACAGGGCATTGCACCAATTACAGCACATCACACTGTTTACCTTTTTTCAACTATGTTGGAATGTCACAAAGTAGCATTCCATTCATCTTTATTCACTGCAGCACGTTGTGATGCAAAGTAGTACGAGTTCATGTCCTGCTTTTTTCACTGCAATCCATACAGCTCAGTAGTGTGAACTGAACACATAGGTCTCAAGGCAAATTGCCTTGTGTATGTGTTGGAACTGCAATAGGCAAGGCTGTCCAGTTCAGCCCAACACATAGAGTGGGGAAAATAATTATTTGATCCCCTGCAGATTTTGTAAGTTTGCCCACTGACAAAGAAATGAAGGTCTTTAATTTCATCATAGGTGCATTTTAAATGATAAAGTCATAATATCAACCAAAAAAACAGAAAAAAATGATACAAATGTTATAAATTGAGTTGCAGTTCAGTGAGTAAAATAGGTATTTGATCCCCTACCAACCAACAATAATTCTGGCTCCCACAGACTGGTTATATGCTCATGTGGTACACAGATTAGTCCTGTCAATTTAAGAAGGTGCTCCTAATGACAACTCTTTATGTGTATAAAAGACAACTGCTCACAAAATCTCCTTCCATTCAAACCTTACCACCATGGGCAAGTCCAAAGAGCTGCCAATGGATATCAGGGACAAGATTGTAGAGCTGCGTGATTATTCACAAATGGAAGAAATACAAAATAACCATCAATTGCCCTCGGTCTAGAGCTCCATCCAAGATTCTGCCTCAAGGGGTAAGGATCTCCATGAGAAAAGTGAGGGATCAGCCCAGAACTACAGAGGAGGAGTTTGTGAATGATCTCAAGGCTGTTGGGACCACAGTCACCAAACAAATCAATGGTAACACAATACGCCGCCATGGATTTAAATACTGCAATGCTGCCAAGGTCCCCCTCCTCAAGAAAGCACATGTGCAGGCCCATCTGAAGTTTGCCAATGAAAATCTAGATGATTCAGACACAGATTAGTAGAAAGCACTATGGTCAGATAAGACCAAAATTGAGCTCTTTGGTATTAACTCGACGCACCATGTTTGGAGGAAGAAAAATGCTGACTATTACCCTAAGAACACCATCCCTACAGTCAAGTACGGAGGTGGAAACATTAAACTTTGGGACTGTTTCTGTGCTAAAGGTACAGGACTACTTTGCTGCATTGAGGGGCCAATGGATGGGGTCATGTATTGTACAATCTTGGATGAGGACTTTCTTCCCTCAGCCAGAACACTGAAGATGGGTTGTGGATGGGTCTTCCACCATGACAATGACCCAAAACATACAAGGCAACAAAGTAGTGGCTCAAGAAGAAGCACATTTAAGGTCATGGTGTGGCCTAGCCAGTTTCTAGACCCTAATCCTATAGAAAATGTATGGAGGGAGCTGAAACTTCGAGTTGCCAAGCTACAGCCAAGAAACCTTAAGGATTTAGAGAAGGTCTGTAAAGAAGAGTGGGCCAAAATCCCTCCTGAGATGTGTGCAAACCCGGTAACCAACTACAAGAAACGTCTTACCTCTGCTTGCCAACAAGAGCTTTTCCACCAAGTATTAAGTCATGTTTTGGTTGGGGATCAAATACTTACTTTACTCATTGAACTGCAACTCACTTTATAACATTGTTATGATTTTTTTTCTGGGTTTTGGTTGATATTCTGTCTCTATCATTTAAATTACACCTTTTAAAAAAATGATAGACCCTACTTTCTTTGTAAGTGGGCAAACTGACAAAATCTTCAGGGGATCAAATAATTCTTTTCCCCACTGTATTGTGTGAATTGGCCCTAAAAGCTGGGGTTTTATTTTATTGAGTGGTCTCACATTGATGGTGGTCTAAATTCTGTTGTTCAGCTTCTGTCAAGGTGGAAGGATTAACTTGTGGGAAAATGTCCAAGCTACAATGCCATCTTTGCTCACTTCCATATGCAGTTGGGGTCTACAACTATGCCCAGGCTAGCTGGTATAGTAGGTATAGTAGTGAATTATGCCATTATAATTTAATAGCCAGTGTATGTAATTGGGCACATAGCAATATACAAAATATAGAAGCTCTCAGCTATAATGTTTTATTATTATATGGGCAGCACAGTGGCTAAATGGTTAGCACGTCCACCTGGCAGTACTAGGGTCATCAGTTCGAATCCCAACCACTGCACCACCTGCCTGGAGTTTGCATGTTCTCCCTGTGCTTACGTGGGTTTCCTCCAGGTACTCCGGTTTGCTCCCACACTCCAAAGACATGCTGGAATGTAAGTTAGGAACCTTAGATTGTACACCCCTTGCGGGTTAGGGAATGATGTGAATGTACACTATAAATGTAAAGCGCTGTGTAAATTGACAACGTTATATAAGTACCTGTAGTAATTATATAACATATTATGTAGAAAGTATATTGGGCATGATGAATGTCTCTATCTCTCCCATTCAATGGGCATCATTCAAAGCAGAAGACTAAGGACATCTTGTGGTGGAGAAAAGGTACTGTAGGGGAAAGCTCGAGCTTGAAGGTGAGTACTTCACCCTGAGCTGCTTTTTCTTTTTTTTTTTTTTTTTTTTTTTAACTTACAGGCGGAGTCTTTCAAGTTGGGCTTTAATAATATAGAGAGACTACTTTTCTTTTCTGAGCACAATATCTAATAACCCAGGCTACAGTTAAACATATATTCTTGCACAATACATATAATATACCTTTGTACTTACCCTGACAAAAATGAGAGTGTTTGATTCCCCTACTTTGTATTTTCCTTCTGAGACTTTGATCATAGAAAATTGCTCAGGACACGTGCACCTGCTCACCAAATGCTGCACCTGGTAAAAAAATATCGGGTGGATGATACATCTGGGTATAGTAGCAAAATGTCATATCTATTCATCTGGTTTTAATATAACTCTTTAATATCAACCTGTCAAGCAAAAAGCAAAGATACTAATTCCCCTAATTACTGTGGTATACAGGAAATAGATGTGAGTATTATTTGAATATATATATATGTGTGTGTGTGTGTGTGTGTGTGTAAACTTTGAAAGTCAAATACATATTACCAATTGTAAACCTTTTTTTTAATTATTTATTTAATTTTTTTTACGAATTCTCTTTATTGAGCATTCTTTGTTTTTGAAAATAAGTACAAAAAAAGCCTATTGGGCATAACCAGGCTTAACTCCCACACAGAAAAAAACAACAAAAAAAGGGGGAGAACAGAACTACAACTCCCAACAAAAAACAACAAAAGGCAACTGTACTGAAAAATGGCAAGACATATTCACAGTAGACTAGATCTTATTGGGGGTAGGTTACAGAGCTAGCAGAACTATCACCATGGGTACACTAACATCCCTGCATTAGCCCTGATCAGAAGTGGAAGCAACAGAGTACCCCGATTCAGTTCAAATATGCCAAACCTTGGTAAATTTTGCGGGGCACCCCCTAGACTCATAAGTATATTTATAACGTGGGATGACCATATTAACCAAGTGCTTCCAAAACCCAGAGGTAGGGGCTCGGGGAGACTTCCATTTTAAGAGTAAAGCTTTACGAGCATAACAGTTGTAAACGTTTTCAAAGTAGAACTATGGCCTTCCATAAAAAAAAAAAATGTCCTCCAGCATTCAAAACCTTAACTCCCTTTCATCCCTCCCAGCTCTCTAACAAAACTGCCACTTGCATAGATTTTCCTTCCTCATAAAGCAAAGTATACTCGCCTAAGTCCCACTATCCAGGTCTCTCGCTGATGCCATATTCCCCTACAGGAACCGCTCATCCAACACAGCAGATTAGCCTTTGCCATCCAGTCCCCTTGACTCCCCCCAGGCTGACATCTGTAATTTTCTGGATCCTAAGAGGACCCCTCGGGCAAACAGCCATTGGGAATGTTCACATAAAGCAGTCAGTGGTGTAAAAAAAAACTTCAGAAAGACCCCAGCACAAAGTGAACAGTGAAAAGAAGAATCTAGCACTGGAAGATGACATGATGATGACATGACATTAACGTAAGTGAAAAAGGATATTTAAAAAAAAAAAATTTCATCCCAGCAATCAGTGGGAGCGGACTGGGTGGGGGTAGTTTTATCCCAGAGTTGGCTCTTAAATAAATAAAGTACAACTGCGTTTACAGTTTCCTCTCTTTACCCCTGCAAAGTCTAACAAGTACCTATTGAGTCTGCCAGTGAAGTCCAGCAAATGCCGTCTCCCATGATAGTGTGGAAATTATGCTGCACTTCTGAATTCAGAGTAGAGTTGCCACTCATGTATACTGTGCCTGCTTGCACTACAGTGAAATGAATAAATGTTGTGGAGGATGTGACTATCAGCATTGTCACTGCTAATTCTCAAGCCTTTAGCTTGTCATTCAGCACCTGGCCATGCCTAGCCTCACCCACTGCTTTCTGGATTGACAGCCCTGCCTGTTGCTGAAACCCTCCCACTGAGAGCTGCAGTGTCTGGGAGGGAGCATGCAGGGGCGTGGATAAGGGGGTAACAGCAGTCCTCCTGTATGGGGCCGAAGCCAGCAAGGGGGCCCAGGCAGCTGGGTGAATCGGACGTAGGCGGCACGGATGAGGGGGGGTTAATTGCTGGAACCAATCCCCTGTATGGCTCTCTCTGCAGCAGATGAGAGCTGGCTTTTTCTCCCACCCACTGGTTTTCAGCTGCTGCAGAGAGAGCTGTACAAGGGATCATTTCCAGTAACTGCACCCCCTACTGTACCCATCACCCTCCCTGTGCACCATACATTTCCCTTGCTGACCAGGCCCTTCTGTGTGCCCCCACCCCTGCATTGCTGCCTGCTTCCATCCTCACATTTACCAGCCTCTTTTTTCCTGAATGAACATAATAAGTGATCAGTACCGATCACTCACTGGGTCCATTCATAACTGAAGCTTAGTAAACTTTGTTTACTTTGGGGGTCCCTGTCAGGTTGGCTGTATGGGGCCCTGTGGTTTTTAACAGCAACCCTGGGAGAATGTAAGACACAAAGGAAAAAAGATATGGCTCAATCAGGGTAGATGAAGGAAGTTTTTTGTTTACATTATGAGGCTTCTGCATCAGTTGGTAACTGGATTTGTTGCTTGTTTGCATTGTCATACAGGAGATTTATTGTACATTATTGAATCCCAAATCCAGGCAAAATCATATTAAAACATTGTAATGTGGCTCACATACCTTGCCCATCAGTAGTACGTGCAAATACATCTTCCTAGCCCAGCCTGCATTTCAATCATCATTTCCTGCTCTGGGGACTTGGAAATTGTCACCTGTCCTCACCTGGTTCAAGACTGGTCCCCTCACCGGCCCCATGTAGAGAGGATGGAGTGGGCAAAATTAAGTACTTTTAATGCTTTTGAAACTCTCTTTTCTGAGAGCGGTGTGCTGCTGCCTAGATAGGTGTTTCTTTTATTAATTAGGTGGTGGAGAACTGATCTCACTAGAATGCCATGTAGTCATGGAAAATGTTGTCTGATATTATAATTGGATAGTTGGTTGAAAGTGACATGTAGCTTTGCGGCTGTCGGCTTATAGTACTCAATGAACTACCATGTCGCTGTTGAGTGCTGTGGTACTTCATTAATTCTTCCTGTATGATGTACGAGCAGGCAGTTTACACTGACAGTCTGTAGGAGTCCTGCATGGCACCAGCAATCTGCTGATCGCTGCCGCATGCTTTCCAGGCTCCTAAAAAAATAGTAAATGCACATTTTTGTACCTACAAAGTGAACTTAGTCTTTAAATTTTCAGCCTAATGAAGGAAATATATTATTACACCAAACCCTTTCACGCCTTTGCACTTAGGCGTGTTTTACCACACCTTTAATTGGCACGGTACTCATCTAGATGATTTAGTCTGCTGCATCTTCCATTGTGATGGTACCATATTTAGAATTAATGTAAAGCATACATATGCTTCATATTGCATGGCGCTCAAAAGGAAATACTTCCCACCCCCACACTTGTGAAAACATATACAGGCTATGCACACATTAGGATGAATTGCAATTAAATTTCTGGTTCAATCATCAGTATTCATTTTGTAAAACAGCGTAACAAGAACAAGCACCTAATCTGCCCACACAAGGGCTAGGACTGGCGACATGAGACTAGACAAACTTACAGTATGAAAAAGGAGGGATAATCTCCGCAATCAATCACTATGGACATGAAAACAAAAACAGGAGAGATTTCAAGCTGATCTTCTTAACTGGTGGGATAAACCAGGACATAATGAAGTCCAGATAATGGAGCAGGTTGTCCTGGACTCATATATGGAAGAAAAGGGGCACAGAGTCCCGTCAAGAAAAGGAAAGTCAAAGAAGAGAGGCAAAGAAGAGGAAAAGAGAGCAAGTCAGGAGGGGGAAGAGTTGTCAGAAATATCAAGGGTGGCAGTCAAAGCCCACAATAACAAGGGGGAGAGTAGGGAATTGCATTACAATTAAATATTATTATTATACAGGATTTATATGGTGCCAACAGTTTGCTCAGCGCTTTACAATATAACGGGAGACAATACAGCAACAATACAGTTCAATACAAGAGGGTTATGAGGGCCATGCTCCTCGATTTAAACAAAATTCACTGTGGAATATCCAATTATTTACTGATCACATATGTGAGCACATACTGTCTGCAGCAGTAGACATTTAACCAAATACACACAATATTAAATATATATGTGCACAAAAACTTTTTTTCTGTATTTCTATAGTTTAGGTCAGTATGCGTTGTGGTGGGTGAAGTTTTTTTTCATTTGGTATCAGTGTATTCACAAATTGAGTGGCTGTGCTTAGGACTCTTTTACTAAAGGCCAAATCACACTGACTTGCACTAAAATGTATGGAAAATACATGTACATTTCCATCCATTTTAGTTGCGTTTTAATGCATGCTAATGTCCGTTGACATACATTTTGATGTCCATTGATATACATGCGCAGCATTATGGTGAGAATAGGACACATTTGACATTTTTTTTCTCAGATGTCCTTCTGTTGATCTGCGTCTTACAGCTGTGTTAAAAGCGGATCACTGCACTGGTGTGATTTGGCCCTAAATTCACATAAATGGTGGATATAAAAAATACACCTTTTGGTGTAGAAGTGTAAATTTGTATTATAATGACTTTTGACAAAATATTCCGCTATCCACAAAAAATAGCCCTTGGTAGATCACATGCTAAAAACATTAAAAGAAGCGTTTACACAGTGCACACAGGAGATGAAGCTATACTAAATTAAAACATGGTAAACATCTATCTAAGATGAACCAGGAACGGAGCCCTAAGGTTTTGGCTTTAAACCTCTAGGATTGCAGATGACCAAATTATTTCTTCAGTACCCCACACAATCTGGATGTCTGTGTGAGGTGCAGTAAGTCTGAATACTACAGATTAGTTTATATACTTAGGCCCCTTTCACATCTAACAACTGCGTTTTTTTGCCGCACTTTTGAATGGACTGCTTTCTACTCCCAGAACATGCCAAAGTACCTCCTGTACCTTTTTTGAGCCAACTTTGAGACGTTTTTGGAAAGCACAATGTTGAGCGTTTTGCACACATTTTGTTTGTTTTGCACATTTGGGGTGTCATTAACAACAATGGCACCCAAACACACACACTGCGTGTTTTTCTGCAATTTTACCACATTCCACAATCGCAGGCAGAATTGCGTGATTCTGCCGGCCATTCTAGAACACCCAGATGTGGATGGGGTCTTGGGAAATTCTGTTAAACATTAAACTGCCCATGGTTGTGCCCAAAATAGGTTGTGGGGCAAATTGTTAAAGAAAAAAAAAACGTAGTCTTTAATACTTGTTACAG